ACCCATCTTAAAGTTGCTGAGGTTGAGGAACCCTGCCTTGGGATCCGCTGGGAGGGCAGTGGGCTTGCAAAGATTTGAATGTGAGGCATCCAGAGAGGCTGTTTTTTTATACGCTCACCTTAAATAACTGCTTGCAAGGGGGTGCTCAGGAAGTTGTGAAGGTGCAGCAGCGATTTGGCTTTTCTTCCTCGTGCGCAGGATTTGTTTGTGGCAAGTTTATTTTTTTGAATATGAGAAGTGTCATATCTGGTGTGCAGCCTGGTAGGTCATATCACATTTTACCACCATATTGTGCCAGGTTTACATGCTGTTTCATACTAAGTTTGGCAGAAAACCAAAACGTATCTTTGATGGAGAACAGTAAGCATCCGTGTCTTGCTGATAGATTTAGGAGTGCCTGCACCTGCTCATAAATGCGTTCCCTTAATCTGGTGTCTTCCAGTCCTGTTGGACTACAAGGTGCTTCATAGAGGCCCACTTGGAGAATTTCCAGTTTGATTTTTTTGGTCGGCCGCGATCCCAAGACTCTCTGCTTTTGTATCAAAATCAGTGAAGAGTCTTGTGACACCTTAAAGGTAACATTAGTTTTACTAGCAGAAGGTTCTGAGGATTCAAAATTGATGCATCTAACGATGTGGACTGTGATTATGGTTAATGAAGTCTCATTAAGAATCTCCTCAAGATTCTTTGTTGGTGTGAGAGTTTGAGTCTAGCAACATAAGAATGCCAAATTAGAGAAATTCGTTTTACACCATTATTATATACAAGTAAAACCCAAATCTGGGAAGCCATGGAGATAGGCAGCCTTGTGGTGTTAATATAGGGCTTACCAAGTCTCTGAATTAGTGCAGACTTTTGAAATTTGGAGGTGGGTGCTTTCATTAAATGGGTATCACAACACCTATGTCTACTCTCAAAACACTCAGTTTCCAGGTGCCCACAGTGCCCTGCAGAAAACACTACTGTAGTTATATGCAACATGCACACGTGCAAGCAAAACAGAAGCTACGCTCCCCTGCAACAGGCAGGAACCAAAGCAGAAGATTATGTCTTCCTTCGTGAGCCTGAAACTCTTAAAGCACCAAGGAAGCTGCCACAGGGCAGTGACTTGAGCATGTTGGTCACCAAGAAAGATGTCTGTAGGCACGGTTTTGAGAACTGCAGTTTTAAAAGAAAAGACAAAAGAAAAGCATGTTCATCCTCAGTTTCACAATATAGCTTTATTTGGACCAACTAAAAGTCACTAGAAGTCAAGTTTGACTCAGAGGAGACTTCCCTTTTTTTTAAGCCACACAAAAACTCAGAAGCTTGCACATTTTCTGGTAACATTTTACTTAGTCCTAATCTAGGTGGTCCTCAGCTATGAAATCAGACAAAATAAGTTCTGTATCATATTTCATAGTTTGTCCTCTGAAAATAATAAATCTGATTTGCCCAAGCCCATGTGCAGAAGGATATTCCACATTGACTGACTTATAAAAATATGTGAGGATTACATGTATAGATTAATAAATTAAAATAAATGAAATGAAAGCCAGCTGGGTGACTTTGGGCCAGTCACTGCCTCTCAACCCACGACGTCAGGCTCAGGTGACAAGCTGGTGGATCAATTGCTGTTGCAACCAATGGATCAACATTTGGTTGATCCAAAAAAGCAGACCCTGCACCTTTGGGGAAAATGCTAGGAAGAAAAAAATGTGCAGAAGGATATTCCATATTGACTGACTTTTAAAAATATGTGAGGATTAAATGTTTGTCTCTTTCCTGTTGTAATCAGCCAGATTATTCTGGAAAGTCCCCTTATCCTGGGTTGGCCTAGAAGCAAAAAAAGGATAGCCAGTTTAGTGGTTAAGGCATCAGGCTAGAAACTGGGAGACTGTGAGTTCTAGTCCTGCCTTAGGCACAAAGCCAGCCGGGTGATTTTGGGCCAGTGACTCTCAGCCCTAGGAAGGAGACAGTTCTGAAAACGTTGCCAAGAAAACTGCGGGAACTTGTCCAGGCAGTCGCTGGGAGTTAACACTGATTTGAAGGCACACCAAAAAAAAAAAAGAAGAAGAATACTTTGCCTGAATCTCAAGTTTTGGCCTATGCATTGGGTGTAGATCTTTTAAAGGAGCCTGAGTGAGGAATTTGGTACATCTGTTCCTTTGTAGCAAATGTGGGAGGGGAAGGGATTGGGTCAGGGCCAGAAATTAATTTCAGCCTTTTGTTCTGCATTCTTTTGCATAGGTTTTGATGAAGCCATTCTTAGGGTAATTATTCACTTGAAAAGCAAGTGAATTAGGTGATAATTAGGCATTTAAGTTTGTCTATGATTTGGGACAGATAGCTCAAATTCAAATGTAAGAAGATGGAGGGAACTAAGCCACTTGTTACTGTAGATAATGTAGTTCTGTGTAATAAGTTAAAGCAAGCAAAAAATCAAGAAGAGTCTGGTGGTGCCTTTTCTGCTAACACGTTTATTAAAAGGTGCAGGTAGCCCCCAGTTTAAGAATGAGTTCCATTCCCAAGGTCTGCCCTTAAGTCGAATTTGTATGTAAACCAGAACAATACTATTATATTATACTGTATAAGTAGTATTGTGTAATGAACTCGAACCATTGTGTATTTAACTCAAATTTTGCTACAATAGGCTCCGTTCTTAACTATGGGTAGTCTGTAGCCTGGGCATTCTCATCCCAGGGACTACCTATAAGCTTTTGTGAGCAGCAGCTCACTTCATCAGATGCAGTCAAGTGGCTAATTAAATTGGGATAAGGAGAGGAGAGGAGAGGAAGAGTTTGCTTATACAGATGCAGATTATATGTAAAACAGATTTTGTACTGTGTTAAAAATCCATTGGGTTTGTTGAGGCTTTCAGAGATAGCCTGAAACCTTTTGATGTATGTGAGTTCAGCAATCTCTTGCTGGCAAAATTTCTTCTTTCTCCCAAGATGGCTATTTTGAGATCTGTAATGGAGCGTCCTGGAAGCATGAAATGCTCTGATATTACTTTGTCCTTGTTTTGAGTTCTGATGTCAAACTTATGTCTATTAATTCTTCTGCTGAAAGTTTGTCCTGTTTGTCCTATGAAGAATCCAGCATATATCATATTAGAGGTGCCTTCACATGCTCTTCCTCCAAGATTTTGGGGCCTGTGATGGCGCTGTTGGTATAAAAGTTGGGGAAAGTAGGCATCTGGACTTCTGGTAGGGTCTGATTCCCATTTTAGCATCATTGTTTCTTTTCGCATTTTTGTTGTTTCTTGTTTCTGTGTGAATCTGCTTTAGATTGAGTGGTTGTCTGTATGTTTTTTTGTTAGGTTTTTACAGCTTCTTTTGAGATTTAGAAGCTGATTCCTATTGACAGAATAATTACTGAATGTGTGACATTGGAAAATTGTTACTAAATCAACCCTGGCTTGTATAGAATCCTGATCAAACCAGAATTTCTTTCTGCCTAGGCTGGAGGGATCTGCTTATAGGATGATAGTCTATTGATAGAGAACTGTGAAGGTTATATATCTATGTGTTATACATTGTAAAAGCATCTGCAGAATTTGAGCTCTCAATCAAGAACTTATACTGTGTGAAGTTGTTGGGGCCTGTGATGTTGCTGTTGATATAAATGTTGGGGCAAAGTAGATATCTGGGTTTGCTACAGGATCTGGTTCCTATGTTGTGTCATAATTTTGTTTTTTCTTATTTCCTGTGAGAATCTGCTTAAGGCTGGGTGGTTGTCTGTATGCATGTATGGGCCTGCCACCCAGTACTTGAGAAAGTTCAGTGTCATTGTCAAGTATGGTTGTAGTCTATTAATAATGCATTTGAATGTCTTAGGCTGTGAACTGTAAGTGACAACTAGTGGTGTTATGTTATTTTGTTTTTGTGGTCTGTCTTTTAATAGGTCCTCTCTGGGAATAGATCTGGCTCTATTGATTTGTCTGTTGATCTCACTGGGTGGGTGGATCAGTCTCCTGAACGCCTGGTTTAATTCCATCAGTTGAGCATCTCTGTCAGGTAGGTCACAATAAGTGTGGTTGAGCCTGGCTGTAGATGATAGATATGGTGATGTGTTCTGGATGGAAGCTGGAAACATACAGGCATGCATGACAATATGTAGATTTCTTGTATAATGTATTTATATATCCAATTGTGTAGTTTTATCATGTCATCAAGGAAGTGGGCCTATCTTTGAGGCCGATGATAGGGTGGAAGTTGTTGAAGTCATGATAGAATTTGATTATTCTTTTTCATGGTGAAAATGTCATCAATGAATCTCAAATAAAGGAGGAGTTTTGGGTGATGGGAATTGAGAAAGCATTGTTCTAGGTCAGCCATGATGATACTGGCATATTAGGCATGAGAGCCAGCTTTGGACCAGTCACTCTCTCAACCCACCTCACAGGAAAGTAGGAGGCAGGAGTCTTAGGTATGTTCACTGCCTTGAGTTATATATAGATATATTATAAAAATATAATGTGCTGCACATGTGCCCACGGCTGTGCCACTGATCTCTTGGTATATGTTGTTGCCAAAGATGAAGTAGTTATCGGTGAATACAAACTCACACAGTCTGGTAGCAAGGCATACTGTGTTGACATCAGTGATGATGATCCTGATAGCTTGATGCCCATGTTTGTGGGATGTTGTTCTGTGGCACCTCACCATCAATGATAGCTAAATGGAGTTGTCCTAGAGGTTGTCAATAGATTTCAGTCTTCTTAGGAAGTCTGTGGTGTCTCTTATGTCACTGGGAGTGCTGGTGGTGGCATAAAGTCTGAGCACAGTCAACTTCCCTTCAGCTTGTTTGAATATGATGTCATTATTAGTCTCGATGGCATTTGTTCTGCTCTGCTGAGATTGTTGTGTAAGGAGAATTTCTTTATTGATGATTATGGCTTGAGGTTGTTGGCAAAAGCATTCGGTTTAGAAATCAGTTCAATGTTACCTCCATTGAGAAGTATCCATGAGGCGTTTTTTTAGGCATTTAGGATTTGATGTGATCTGCAGCTATATGTTGTCATAGGATAGGATGGCTGTGTCTCTGTGCCTTGCTTCTTGTCTTGAAAGTATTCCTTAAGTCTCAAGTTTCCAAGTCCCCAGAGAGTTGCATATTTTCTGTGAGTTTAGTGGGAAGAAAAGATAAGCTTCATGAAAGAACAGATTCTTCAGCTTGGTGGAATATAGGTTCACACTATTTGAGGGGTGGGTTTGTGGAGCCCTCCCATTGTGGTGAGTAGATGCATATAGAAGCTTGGACAGCTTGTTTTATTTCTACCATAGACTAACACAACTCTTCGGCTACAAATTAAATCAGGCAGAGATTCCAGCTTAAAAATCAGGATAGAGAAATGCACAGTGGAACTTGATCTTCTGTCTCGGGGCCTTTCCTCGCTAGCAGCCACCTACCTGGCTGGCTGTTGTCAGTAAAGAAAGAGCTGTGTCAATTTTGAATTAGGTTGTCCAGTTTATGACCCCTGTCCTATATTCATAGCACCTTGCTTCGCAAACCACTGGAGCTGGTGAATTAAGTGACCGTATTTTCAGGCCAGCGATTGACTAATGTCTTATCAGCGACATGCCTAATATAGCCCTTTGCCAGGGACTGAAGGGAAGGGGATAGGGATGCGTTTTCTTACACACTCAAGGCGCACTTCTGGTCCAACGCTGCAACGGGTCTACCTGATCTCATCTCCCCCAAAAGGGGTGGTGACAGACAATGGCTTTTTCATAACTTATTACCATGTTGGGACCTCATCAGTTAGACATTTTTTAAAGAACCTTTTTTTGGGGGGGGGGGAATAGGAGGAACAATCATATTTTAAATCCTGAGCTGGCACCACAATAAAACCAGCATCCTGGGCTCAAGAAGGAACCCTTGGGGTCCCAAGGCCATTTGGCTCAAGTATAAATGCAAGGGAGGAAAGTGTCTCAGGCTGCAGATCTTGCAGTCAGGGAGAAGTATTAGAATGGAAAATGGCTTTCTTAACAGTGAGGAGGTAAAAATCAATCAAGGCAAAAGAGGTAGAAATAAAGGGAGGAAAGAGGAGAAGAATTGAGTTTTCTGGTGGTAAGGTTACATTTCAGCTTGTTGAAGAATCTTTGGTAAAGTTTAATACTTTTTTTACACGTTAAACATACCGTCAGGACCAGAAATATTGGACCAAGGATAACTGTTTTGGCATTTGGCCTCTGTATACCACCACATTGAAGTTGAAAGGAAAC